TATGTAACTTGTAAGTCCACAAGTGATGAAGATACTATAACTAGACTGATCAGCACACAGGATATGTAACTTGTAAGTCCATAAGTGATGAAGATACTATAACTAGACTGATCAGCACACAGGATATGTAACTTGTAAGTCCATAAGTGATGAAGATACTATAACTAGACTGATCAGCACACAGGATATGTAACTTGTAAGTCCACAAGTGATGAAGATACTATAACTAGAATGATCGGCACACAGGATATGTAACTTGTAAGTCCACAAGTGATGAAGATACTATAACTAGACTGATCAGCACACAGGATATGTAACTTGTAAGTCCATAAGTGATGAAGATACTATAACTAGACTGATCGGTACACAGGATATGTAACTTGTAAGTCCACAAGTGATAAAGATACTATAAATAGACTGATCAGCACACAGGATATGTAACTTGTAACTACACTAAAACATACTGCTCAAAATGATGTCACCTTTTCATTTCTCTAAGAATACTTTGATAACTCTGTCTTTGATGTTGCATAATAATTACTGAACCATTTTACTAAAGTGAGCCATATTTTGATGCACACTATTGTTCATTTCATACATCAAGAATCTTATCAGTTTTCGGATGTGTACTACCAATACACGAACCCTTATATACACGTGTCGTGTACTAGTTAGCTGTGTGCGTCTAAGAAGACATTGTTTGATAATTAATGAATTATTCCATTAACCTTAATAGTTTCCTTAGATTGTACGTTTTTAATGTTTCTAGTAATTGTGAATAATTTTTTGGTTAGTTTTTTAAATTATGAAGGTTCCATATTGTTGGCTAAGTACGTAGGTTTAGGACTGGCTGAATCTCTCGAGATGTTATTAAGTATAAAGCTAAGAATATCGTTAACAGCGAGGCTAATCGGCCAGTAATTCAATGCATTCCAACTGTCGCCGGTTTTAGTTTTCCATTAAATTAAGTATTTATGGAAATGATATAATTACCTTGGTTCTGTTATATATAGTTTGACATGAGGATGTTAAACTGCTGGAAAATGTGTAAACCACAAGCTCATTACTGCCATGTTAACATTGATAACACAAGATATGGTGATTTTATTGTAGAAATAAAAATGTTAGATATTAATTAGGAAACATTATCTGCCTTAACTATGACTTGAACCTAAGATTTCTTGTGTTTTAAGATTGTCTTTTTGTGGTATATAATATTTCAGTCAATGTCTTGATTATTTTTCAAACTGATTATATATGTACAAAATAAATTAATATTCACGAGTTTGTTGAGAAGCTTGTATATTTATATATAGTACTAAAAGTTAATACGTATTAACATTATTTTCAAAAAATAATGGCATTATTATTATTCCTGTACTATGTTTAAAGCTAAAGAAGTATTTGAATACTAGATATTAAAACAGTATCAAGTAGTGTATCATAGAGAGTCACAACATGGAACATAGTGACAATCAGATGATACCTCTAGAAACATCTCAAGTACTGTATCATATAGTTACAGAGTCGCAACATGGAATATAGTGACAATCAGATGATACCTCTAGAAACATCTCAAGTACTGTATCATATAGTTACAGAGTCGCAACATGGAACATAGTGACAATCAGATGATACCTCTAGGAACATCTCAAGTACTGTATCATATAGTTACAGAGTCGCAACATGGAACATAGTGACAATCAGATGATATCTCAAGAAACATCTCAAGTACTGTATCATATAGTTACAGAGTCACAACATGGAACATAGTGACAATCAGATGATGTCTCTAGGAACATCTCAAGTAGTGTATCATATAGTTACAGAGTCGCAACATGGAACATTGTGACAATCAGATGATACCTCTAGAAATATCTCAAGTAGTGTATCATATAGTTACAGAGTCACAACATGGAATATAGTGACAATCAGATGATACCTCTAGGAACATCTCAAGTAGTGTATCATATAGTTACAGAGTCACAACATGGAATATAGTGACAATCAGATACCTTGAGAAGAACTGACATTATCCCATGGACACTGAAATATAAATAATGAAAACGTGCAACTACTCAGGTGTTGCCAAACTTAACTAGTGTTTATAGAGAAGACTGATGTGACTTCTCCTGGAAATTTAATAACTTGCACAAGCCACAACATATTTTAGCTAAATGAATTTAAAAAACAAAATATTCAGTGTTAAGGTCCTTTTATAGTTTATTACTGGACATTTCACGAAAGCAGAGAATCTTGTAAACAAAAGACACTGCAGTCACACCAGATCGCCTTAACAAAGTATCCTGTAAACACAGGAAATTATAATCTTGTATAGATAATACACATCACCATGGTAACGCATACCGAATACAGGACAAACACTACAGCAGCCGATACTGTAAACACAGGACATTCTGAGGATTACAGAACGTCTTCTGTTTTTGTGGTATTGTAAATGATTTTATAATACCTGTGATCCTATATTTTCTGATGACAACATTATAATGTACATCAGTTTATAGTGACAACCTGTAAAATATCTAGTGTCAGACTTATTTGATATATTCAAATATTAGCCAATAGTTTTCTCACCAGAACTTTCCATGTGTCTAGCTACACTGAAAAACTAAGTGCTGTGTATTGGAAAATAAAATAAATACTCAGAAAAATCGATCATTGATAGAGATTTTATTCAGTCTACGACAGAAAACCACTTTTTAATCAGTTGCTTGCCTTTATTTAGAGTACGACATGCTGGACAAATCTATTTCTTCCTTGTATACAAGGCTCATTATAAGTTTTAATACTACAACTATTAGGCTGGTGGTGGTTCACAATAACAACAGCTGTTATTGCTTGAAGGTGAGAGTCGGGGCGGAGCGTAAAACTTGCCCAGCTTAGGTAAATACCAGTGTTGACTGTAAAAAAATCTGGACCTGAATAGATGATGTATCCGTGTGTGTGAGGCCTAGAAGAATCTGGCCATACAACATAGTAACAAAATGTGTTCTCACAAATAGGTATCTGTGCTTGC